CACAATCTCGCAGCGAAGACAACAGGGGCAAAACGCGGAAGAGTTCACAAGTTTTCAAATAATCAGAAATAGTTGGGTTAACAGAGGATGCTAGAATAATAAAAGGGTGGATTCTCCCTCAAAATGAGGAATTAAATCACATTGGTATTGTGGGGATGAGGGGCTTGGGCAAAACTACCATTGCTCGATTTCAAGAGAAGATTTGGGTTCCAATAACTCAAAACGCCAATGAGGATGAAATACTGAAGAGTATCTTGAAACAGTTAGGAGTAGATGATTAAGCCACCAGTGACTTGCCACACAAAATATGGCAGGTGCTTTCGGATAAAACTTACCTAATTGTCTTGGATGATGTATGAAACATTGAAAGTGCATGGTGGGAAACAATCTCAAACGGATTTCCAAATACATAGGAGCAGAGTGGCTGCATCATAATCACATCAAGGAATGAGCATGTTGTGACAAGCGTGGGAGTGATGGAAAACACGAGTTCATCGACCAAAGCTTCTTGATGAAGAAGAGGATTGGTCATTATTCTGTAAAGTTGCCTTCAAGTCAAAAAAAGAAAAATGTATGAACTTCGACTTGAAAAAGAAATAGGAAAGGAGATAGTGAAAAAGTGTGGCTGCATTCCGTTAGCAATCAAGGCCATAGCAGGTTTGCTATCCTCAAAGAATCCGTCCATTTTGTAAGTGGGAGCAGATTTGTAAATTTTTTCGTGCAAAAATAGGAGCAGAAAAGAATAGTTCTATTATAGATTCTTTGCAGCTAAGCTATGATGAGTTTCCTACACATTTAAAGCATTGTATACTATGACTCTCAATATACCCAGAGGACCACGAAATAAACACTGAGCAGTTGGTTCGCTCTTTGCTGGTGGGTGGGGGAAGGTTTTGTCCGCGAGGAAAACATAGAACCTGCAAGAGATATGGTTAATTGTTACCTGTCCAAATTGATCAGTAGATGCTTGGTTGAAGTTGTTCAACGAAGGAGTTATGATGGAATAATCTATAGTTGCAAAATGCATGACATGGTCTGAGATTTGATGATTAAAATTGTAAGGGAAGAGGCATTCAACAGTTTTGACAAAGAAAATAGGCAGATACCCGCCATTGATACTCTCCGGTTAGGTGCCACAAGTGAAATGGATCTCCATCTCCTACGGGGAAACTCAAAGATAAGGGCATTATTATATGTATGGAGAGTTGTTCGATTCACTTAAATAGGGGTTGGCCATGGTAAAGTCTCTCAGGTTTTGGACCTCTCGCATATTAAGCTGGACAAAATTACTATAAGGGATCTATGGCATTGGATCACTTCCCAGAAACACCTAGCTTACTTAAACCTTCGCAATGTTACAAAATTGGTTGAACTGCCAGACTCGATTGGAAAGATATGGGGCCTCCATATTTTGATCCTTGGTGAATGCAAGAACCTAAAAAAGTTGTCTGCATTGATAACAAGTATTCCAAAATTAACGGTTTTGGATATGGGGAATTGTCCATTACTCCAGTGCCTGCCCCAGGGACTTTTAAGACTTTCCAATCTTCAAGAGCTGTATGGTTTCAAAATAACTAGTTTGACAGATGTAGAAGGTTGTCATCTTGGTGAGCCTAGGGGTCTGTCCAGCCTTCTGGTGATGCAAATGGAGATAAAAGAAGAAATCCACTAGAATGAGACACCAAAATCTTCTAAGAGCTAACGAAGCCAAAAAACCTCCTAGGTAGTGTCAGTAAGAGCACGATACTCTACTTTTGTACTAGATCAAGAGATAACATAATGTTTCTTGTCGCACCAAGAGATAAGAGAGTCGCCCAAAAAGAAAAAATAACAAGTTATAGAACGACGATCAGTAGGATCTTCTGCCCAATTAGCATCATAATAGGTGAATAGCTAGAGAGATAAGTGAAAAGAGGAATGAAGACCATGAAACATATTACCCTTAATATATCGTAGAATACGAAGAGCAGTAGCATAATGATTGAGCGAGGGGTAGTCAAAAATTGGTTAATTAGATGAACAACATAGGCTATATCTGGGCAAGTAACAGTGAGATACACAAAACTATCTACCAACTGACGATAAAGAGTGGCATCAGGGAAATGTGTGTCATCTAAGGGAGTAAGTCGAACATTTTTCTCTAATGGGGTAGGTACAATCTTGTAATCAGTGAGTCCAGCATGAGAAAGAAGATCAAAGGCATACTTGACCTGAGAGAGATAATACCCACTAGAGTCAGATGAGATCTCAAGGTCCAAGAAGTAGTTGAAAGAACTAAGATCCTTTATCTCAAAGTTTGTGTGGTGATAATGTTTGAGACTAGAAATACTAGAAACATCATCTCTAGTGATAATCATATCATCAACATAGAGAAGTAGTAGAATAGTGCCACACTCAGACTTAAGAACAAAGAGAGCTAAATCATAAGGGCTGGAAGAGAAACCAAAATCTTTAATG